GCAAAGCAGACAACTGAGGAATCCCCGATTGAGCAGGTCCCATAATAACCATCTCATTAAATCTTAAATCTCTTAAATCTTGCAATAATCTCCATTTACCAGATTTCTTTTTGATGACAAAAATGGGAGTATTATGGGGAGATACAGAAGGTTGTATATGTCCTTCTGCTAATTGTTGTTTGACCAGGTCATGGGCTGCTTGTATCTTTTCTTTAGTCGGGGGCCACTGAGGAACCCATACTGGTCTTTCTGATTTCCAAGTAATTTTTATTGTCTCAGTGGCCCTTTCTGAAAATCCAACCCATGTCTGTCTGTTCCTTGATCTATTTGTATTGGTGCTGCTATACCTTGTTCTTGTTTTTCTAATCTTTTTCCTTTCTTAAAACCTTGTCTAGTCATAATAGTGGGTGCATTTTGGTTGATGTTATTTGTTAATGTCAAACCTAATTGATCTAGGACATCTCGTCCCCATAAATTTATGGGAAGATGATCCAATACATATGGCTGTATAGTTCCTTCACATCCTTCAGGATCCTTCCAATCTAATACCATTTCACTTCTATGGGGATTAATCGCCACTCCTAGGCCTTGAAGCGTTTGAGTGGCTTGTTGTAATGGCCAATGTTTTGGCCATTCTTGACGAGAGATGATGCTAAGGTCTGCACCTGTATCCAGTAGCCCATTAAATTCATGTCCTTGAATATTTAGTTTTAGCATGGGGTGAGAATCTAAATTTAAAGAAAGCATAGCCCAATCTACACCTGTGGAGCCTAATCCCTTGGAACCTCTTTCTACAGTACGACTGGAAAATTTATCATGTAGGCTGGGTATTATTAGTAACTGTGCTATTCTATCTCCTGGTGAAATTACTGATATACCCTTTGGAGAACTGGCTATAATTTTTATTTCACCTTCATAATCAGGATCAATTACCCCAGGACTTATCATAAGTCCTTTTAGAGTAGAATAGCTGCATCCCAATAATAAGCCTACTGTTCCTTTGGGAAGAGGTCCTTTCACCCCTGTGGGAATGATTTGAACTCCCAACTCTGGAGTTAGTACTGCTCTGGCGGAGGTGCAGATGTCCAACCCTGCGCTCCCTCTGGTTTGTCTGATGAGGGATATGATGGACAATGTGTCCTGGGCACTACCCTGATGGGGTTGCTGGGTTTCTCCAGTGCTCCGTATATTTGTGGTTTTGGGCCCCGGAGCATTGGGCCCCCCTGTCCATTTTTTGGCAACGGAGCCCGATGCCTTTCTCCATGATATCGTGGATAAACACCTGGTCCTTGTTCGTTTTTTGATAATGGAGTACCCTCTATGGTGGTTTGAGAATGGCATTCATTAGCCCAATGTCTCCCTCTACGGCATCATGGGCAAATACCTGGTATTCTACTCCTTTGATACCTAGTTTTGTTAAACCCTCCTCCAATGGGGCAATTCCTTTTAAAATGTCCTGTTTGTTCACAATTGTAGCATGTTCTTGGCCTGGCATCTAAAGCCTGTTTTACTGCAGCTGCCACAATTTGCCCTTGTTCATTAATGTCTCTGGCATCTAAAGCCTGTTTTACTGCAGCTGTCACGACTTGCTCTTGTTCATTAATGTCTCTACATAATTTAATATATGTGTTTAAATCTTCATGTTTCCATGGTCTAATGATATCTCTGCACCAACGATTCGCTTGCTCATAAGCCAGGTGTTTTAGTAATGGCATTGCTTGTTCTGTATTCCCAAAAACTCTGGTAGCTGTTTGAATAAGCCTATCTACAAATTCAGCATAAGGTTCATTAGCTCCTTGTATTACCTTAGATAATTGACCTTGTAAACCTCCATGTCCTTGTAAAGTCTTCCATGCCTTAATTGCATCTACAGCAATTTGTGCATATACACCAGGATCATATGCAATTTGTTGCTGCTGATCCTCATAAGGTCCCTTTCCTAACAACATATCTAGATTTCTCTGAGGATAACCAGCTGCTGCATTTCGCCTAGCCATCTCCTTGAAAAATTCCTCATTGGCAACCTTCCATAACAGGTATTGTCCTCCATTTAGCACAGCTTTACACATATTAGCCCAATCTGCTGGGGTCGTGTTCAAGTTGTTAATGGATTCGACCACGCTTACAGTGAAGGGTGCTTGAGGACCATAGGTTGTTACAGCCGCTTTTAGCTGCTTCACTGTTTTGAAATTTAAAACATGGTAAACTCGCTGCCCTCCTGCCTCAAATACAGGGCATGTTAATATTTGAGATCTTGTCTCAGGATCCCAACTATCAACTGCGGGGGTTGGGGGCCTCCCAGCATATGGAGGTGGCCTTGTTAGTTGGACACTTACATCCTCTGGTGATAGAAAGGTGTTAGTAGCAGTCTCCTGTAGAGGTGGTGCTGTTGGTTGGACACTTACACCCTCTGGTGATAGAAAGGTGTTAGTAGCAGTCCCCTGTTGTAACTTTCCCCCTGATGGCTTTTTCTGTTTTACACTTTCTTTCTCTGTCTGACTAGCTTGAGAGGCCTTCTCTTTTACTTGAATTTTTTCCTCTGTCTGACTAGTTCGAGAGACCTTCTCTTTTACTTGAATTTTTTCCTCTGTCTGACTAGCTCGAGAGACCTTCTCTTTTACTTGAATCTTTTCCTCTGTCTGACTAACTTGAGAGACCTTCTCTTTTACTTGAATCATTTCCTCTGTCTGACTAACTTGAGAGACCTTCTCTTTTACTTGAATCATTTCCTCTGTCTGACTAACTTGAGAGACCTTCTCTTTTACTTGAATCAATATGTCTTCTCCTTCCTCTACCATTGTCTGAACTGAAGGCTTTGGACTAAGCAAACAAGATACGAACGTCCACAATGGCAATGTGCCAACTGGCAGAGTCCCTGGGCTTTTCTTTTCTATTCTTTTTAAATCTTCACCATGATGGTCCCATTGTGATATATTTAACAACTCCTCCTTAAAAAGCCATGGGCTACATTTTTGTATTGTATCAACGTATGCCCTGACTGCTCTTGATTTTACTGGGATGCCTCCTTCCTCTAACAATTTACTTAACACTCTTTCGGTTTGTTTTTTACTAATTTCTGATCCCATATTTCTACTATAATACAACCCAACAATATAACACCAAACAAAACCGAGATAGAATGAAATAAAAATGGAACAACAAAATATCATTATGACCTTTCTCCCTATCTGTTCCTCAGATGCAAATAGTTTTTCCTCAGATGTGAGCGGTTTTTCTTCCTTCTCACTCATCTCCAGGGACAGGCAACTTAAAACAAAAGTGAAGCAAAACAAAAGAGGAATCTTAAAATGGCTACCCATCCTCTCGCCCTGCCCTCAGGGGCGAGCAGTTTACCTTATCACTTACCCTCAGTCGCTCCCCGTGCGAGCCACCAAATGCCGCAGTCTGGCTGGGCACAATCAGGAGCCACTTGTCAAAAGAAACTAACTTTATTTTTAGAACCACACACGCCAAACAAAACAGCCTCTCAGGAAAAACCCTCAGAGCCCCAACTGCCACCACCTGCTTTCCACGAGCCTCTCTCTCCAACACAGGCCTCTCTCCACCTCCCACAATCCTCCTGCTCTTGAGGCCTATTGGCTGGGTCACGTGGGCGGAGCCAAAAAAGTCCCCCAATGAGCAGCTCCGTGGTCTGAAAGGGCAGGGAAACAGCCCAATGAGCATCACCACAGAGGAGCCAATCAGCTAGATGTTGCTGGGGCCGCTGTGAGCCAATCATCAGCCGGCAGCTGGAAGTTTTCTGGCAGCTGGAAGTTTGCTGGGGCCCCTTTGGCTGTGGCTCTCAACACCAGGATATAAAATCAACACCCATAAATCAAAAGCATTTATGTACATCAGTGAAAAATCCTTAGAAAGAGAAACTAGGAAAACCAACCCATTTACAATAGCCTCAAAAAAAAAAAATACTTGGGAATCAACAAAAGAGGTGAGAGACCTCTACAATGAAAACTACAGAACACCAAAGAAAGAAATTAAAGAAGACCTTAAAAGATGGAAAGATCTACCTTGTTCTTGGATAGGCAGAATTAATATTATCAAAATGAATATACTACCAAAAGCACTATACAGATTAAAGGCATTCCCAATCAAAATCCCAATGACATTCCTCATAGAAACAGAAAAAACAATCATGAAATTCATCTGGAAAAATAAGAGATCCAAAATAGCCAAAGCAATCCTTATCAGGAAGAGTGAAGCTGGCGGCATTATTATTCCAGACCTTAAACTATACTACTGAGTAATAGTAACAAAAACAGCATGATATTGGCACCAAAATAGACCTGTAGACCAATGGTACAGAATAGAGGAAACAGAGACAAACTCACATAATTACAGTTATCTCATATTAAACAAAGGTGCCAAAACATATATTGTAGAAAAGATAGCATCTTGAACAAATGGTGCTGGGAAAACTGGAAATCCACATGTAACAATGAAATTAAATCTCTATCTCTCATCATGCACAAAATTCAACTCAAAATGGATCAAGGCTCTAGGAATTAAACCAGAGACCTTGCGCCTAATAGAAGAAAAAATAGGCCCAAATCTCCATTATGTCAGATTAGGCCCCAACTTCCTTAATAAGACTCCTATAGCGTAAGAATTCAAATCAATAATAAATAAATGGGATGGATTCAAACTAAAAAGCTGCTTCTCAGCAAAAGAAACAATCAGTGAGGTGAATAGAGAACCTACATATTGGGAGCAAATCTTTACCACACACATCAGATAGAGCATTAATCTCTAAGATATATAAAACATTCAAAAACCTTAACACCTAAAGAAAACAAATAACCCAATCAATAAATGGGCCAAGGAACTGAACATATACTTCTCAGAAGAGGATACTAAATCAATCAACAAATACATGAAAAATGTTCAACATCTCTAGCAATTAGAGAAATGCAAATCAAAACTATTCTAAGGGGGGCGGCGCCCAGCGGCGAACGCTGGAGGCGGCGGCGGTTGGTCCAGGGCTTGCAGTTTGGCACAGATTGAGCTGAAGTGTCCCGCAGGGAGAAGTGACCCTCCCGCACCTGGGCTGAATAGCTGTTTCATTTCCATATAGATGACTATGCAGCCTGCAATTCAAGTGTGGTTTGGAGAAGATCTGCCTCTAAGTCCACGGAGTCCTCTGACCCCCAGACATGGACCAGGGTTGGCTGATGTTTGTCAGTATGATGAGTGGATAGCTGTGAGGCATGAAGCTACTCTGTTGCCTATGCAAGAAGATCTGTCTATCTGGTTATCTGGTCTATTAGGTATTGAAGTTAAGGCAGAAAGACTATTGGAAGAACTTGATAATGGAGTGCTCTTATGCCAATTGATTGATGTTCTTCAAAATATGGTGAAAGCATGCAACTCTGAAGAATCAGGGAATTTTCCAATGAGAAAAGTGCCTTGTAAGAAAGATGCTGCATCAGGTTCATTCTTTGCCAGAGACAATACCGCCAATTTTCTTCACTGGTGTAGAGACATTGGGGTTGATGAAACTTACCTCTTTGAATCTGAAGGTTTAGTTTTACACAAAGATCCAAGACAAGTATATCTTTGTCTGCTTGAAATTGGCCGCATTGTGTCAAGATATGGGGTTGAGCCACCAGTGTTAGTAAAACTTGAGAAAGAAATTGAGTTAGAAGAGACCTTGCTTAATACTTCTGGACCTGAAGATTCTATCAACATACCAAAATCGCGCTGTCAGCATGAAGAGCTACATGAAGCTGTTAAACATATTGCTGAAGATCCTCCTTGTAGTTGTTCTCATTGATTTTCTATTGAGTACTTATCTGAAGGATGATACCGACTAGGGGATAAAATACTCTTCATAAGGATGCTTCATGGAAAACATGTCATGGTCCGTGTTGGAGGAGGCTGGGATACTCTTCAAGGATTTTTGCTTAAATATGATCCATGTCGAACATTACAGTTTGCTACACTAGAACAAAAAATTCTAGCATTTCAAAAAGGAATTTCTAATGAAAGTATTCCTGATTCACCCAGCAGAACACCTCAACTTCCTGAAATGAATCCTTTGTCAGCAGTTAACATGTTTCAGAAACAAAACTTAAAGCCTAGCACGCTAGTTGGTATTCCAAGGAGCAAGGAAAAGCAGGTTCACCCAACAGGTGTATTGCTGCCTGCTTCTTCATTAAAAGGTAATACAGGCTCCATGTCAGTCCGTTCGAAATTTCCAGATTCTTCAGCATCTTCTCATCTCAAGCTCAAGTCTTCAAAAGGTGTAACAAAGAAACCACTTGCTCCTTCAAACAATGTTTCATCTTCCCTTGCTTCTTTAAGTCCTGTAGATAAAAACACTTCTTCACCACCTTTATCAAGAACTGGACCTTGTGTATCTGAGTCAGTGAGAAAATGTGTCACATCCCCCAAAAAGGTCAAGGCTCTTCCCTGCCAGAAAGCTACAGGTGTTCTTGAGCCTAAACTTTTGCCAAATAAGTGTTCTGGAAAAACTCAATCAAGGTACTTGAAACACAGTCACATTTCTTCTAGGGATGATGCATTATTTCACTCACCTGCACCTGTAAGTTCATCAAAGTGTCCACAGTTACCAAAAGCAAATATACAGGTAAGGCCTAAACCTTCTCCTTCTTTTCAGTCCCCTAGAAAAATGGCAAAACCCAGTTCTAAAACCACAGCTACAGATCTAGGAACACAGACTGAAGCATCTAATGGAAGCCTACAAACAGGGGCAATCCCAGCACAGAAACTTAAGTCTGCCTTGAATTTAAATCAACCAGTTTCCGTATCTTCAGTTTGTCCTGCAAAAGCTGCACAAGAATTGAAAGATAAGAAGATAGTTTCAGGTGCCAAAAAGCAGCCTCAGAATAAAAGTACATGCCAGAAGACAGGATCCAGCTCCTCAAAGTCTCCTGGTCGTACTCCACTGTCCATTGTGAGTCTTCCCCAGTCTGCTGCCAAAACACAAATTGCACCAAAGTCAGCACACCCTGCCCCTAAGGGCCAGTATTCAGCTAAAGGGCCTCCAAAGAGTGGCAAACCCCAAGCTTCAACCAGGAAACCACCCTCATCTGGTAAGGGAACAGATAGTGGAGGAAAAAAACCTACCACAAAGAAAAAGGAGGATGATGACCATTATTTTGTTATGACTGGAAGTAAGAAACCTAGAAAATAAATACATGTGGGTCACTTTAAGAAGTCAGAAGAAAGGAGCAAAATGAATGAGTTAGCTTCAAATCTTAAAGGTTTTTCCTGTTTGTGTTTGTTCAAATAGGTGCAGACATTAAATATAAGAAGGTAGGGGATAGAGGTGGAGGCTGGGATGAGGAGAAGGCTCATCAGAAGTCACATGTCTGAATTCACCTAGAAGCTATCCTTCTGAGGCAAACAAGTGTAGAATCACCAAAGGGTTCTTATTATTATAGACATACAGGTAATTTTTAAGCCATAGCATCTTGTTAATGTCTGTCTGTTAAGGGAAATGTAAAAGTCAAATAACACTACTAGAATTATAACTATAGTTGTTATATTTTTGAATGGGTATTAAACATGGAGGTTTTATACCTGCTAATGGCAACACTGGTGCTTACATTAGAGTTACTACATTTCAGTAAGAAAGCAACGGTTTTGCGTTTGTCCCATAAAAGGCACCTAATTTAATTTCCTCATCAGGATTACCTGATTCAGCAATACTAAGTACTAATGGCTGCTGCTGATTGGCATGGCATTACTCTGGGTTAGGTAGAATTCTTATTATTTAAATATTTTCAAGTTTTCCAAATCAGAAGGAACTGATTTTTTAATCTGGCTTATATTGGCAATGATATTTTATCACTAATATTTTGGTTAAAAACAATTAAATAAGCTTATTGAAATATAAGCAAATTTAGTAAAAACAAAACAAGATTTTACATACATCATCTGTAAAAATTTAGATACCTTATAATTTTAGATGGATGTTGTGCAGTATTAGAGCAGAAATGGATTTATTGGCTTTCATCATGTTACAGGTATTTTAAATGCAATTCCCTATGAAAGCAGGTATGAATTTTTACATTAAAATATGTTCTAACAATCTTAAAATTAAGATGATATTAAAAGAATCTTTGAGAGATACTGTATATAAATTCTATCAAATGTTATTTCTTTTGATAACATAACCAGGTTTAATTACATTCTTCCAATTCTGTTAATTTTCTTTAATTAAGTTAAAGCAGACAGCATGTATGCTGCACTTTGTTCTCTAGGCAGATACTTTCAAGAAACTACCCAGATTTTGTATGAGTGTATAGACTCATCCACCCAAAGTGATAGTGGTAAATAATTTATTTAAGGGATTGTGACTATTTAAAAATTATTAATGTACTTTGAGAAATTTTAAGGGCACTTTTAATAACTTTATAGTATAATCACAGCATTTATGTTCAGTATTGAGATTTGTATTTCTCTATTGTTTTAAACTCAAGTATATTTTTTATAGGAACAAAATTATGTACAATCACGGAATAAGCATTTAAGTTGGCTACTAATATTCTATAGGTTATAACATAATATTTTTTTTTAAAGTAAGTGGTCTTTTTATTAAAATAAGTGATCTTTTGCCTGAGGATCACAGTTAAAAAGTCAGGTTAGTTTTTTGAATAAATGATTATTTTATTTATAAAATAAATAATGATTTTTTAAAAAAAGAGACAGCCACCAAATATTTAGTTTAGTTCCTCTATTCTGGACATTGAAAGGGATAATATTTACATCCTTGGGGAGAGAAGTCAGTGTTCAAGAGGTGACAGGAGCATTGTTTTTAGTAATAAGAAATATTTAAAGCATCTTTCAAAGAGAAAGAATTTTACCTTCACAGAATTTTTTTCCATATAAGACCAAACAATGGTTCTATATCAGTAACTTTTAGAACTGAGAGGAAAAAAGTAAATGGTATTATGGCTAGCCTGTGAACCAAGTAGGTCTTACAATCTTGTAAACATTAACTTTTGTGTTGAGAGAAATAAAAAATAACAGTATTCCAGAAGCACCTGACACAAATTCCAGAATTAACCAAAGAATTATTTATTTCAAAAATTGGAAGTCAATTTACAAATATATTCTTCAGCAATGGGGAATTTCTCTAGATATATTTATGTCAGATGAATTTGTACTTATATACAGCCTTCCTTTCCAAAATAAATGTTTTGTAAGAAAAAAAAAAACTATTCTAAGGTTTCATCTCACTCCAGGCAGAATGGCGACGATCAAGAATACAAACAACAATAAGTGTTGGTGAGGATGTGGGGGAAAAGGCATACTCATACATTGCTGGTGGGATGGTAAATTAGTGCAGCCAATCTGGAAAGCAGCATAGAGAGTCCTTGAAAAACTTGGAATGCCCTATTTTTTTGAGACAAGTTCATGCTAAATTCCCCAGACTGGCCTCAAACTTGTGATCCTCTTACCTCAGCCTCCCGAGTTGCTGGGATTACAGGAGTGCACCACCATACCTGGCTTCCACATAGACTCTTGATGCAAATAAGACACATGGTAAACACAAGATTTTCTGGCTTAACATGGCATTCTGTTTTATAGTGAAGTTTGTTTCAGTAAGCCAAAGAGTATATACTAAAATAATGGTGAAAAACTACAGCATATTAAATACATAAACCACTAACCATCATTTACTTATCAATATCGAGTATTAAGTCTTTTATGCTATACATAACTGTTTTTGCTGTAGTTTTATATTACCAACAGCACAGTAGGTTGTTTATAACAACAACACCACAAACACAAGAGCGAAATGTAGCACTAGAGTGTCACAATGGCTATGTCACTGACAGGAATTTTTCAGCTCCATTATAATTTTGAGACTACAGTCTTATAAGTGGTCCATCATTGATCTGAACATTGTTATATAGTGCATGACTACAGTCTGATTCATTGATTCTATTTCTATCAGGGCCCTCGAGTCTTATTCCAAGGATTATTGATTGAGGGGAAAAAAGTCTTCAGAAATTTTTATTTCATCACTGCATGGGCTCTCTCTCTTCCAGCAAGGAGGTCCACGGAACAGGGTAGAGGAGAATGTGGCTGCAGAGTCGCAATCTTGACATCAAGGTGGAAGTAGGTCTGATTCTATTGTGTAGTTACCATGTATATATACTCTGCTAGGAGCTAAGCAGATTATAGGCAGCCACCAGTACAATCTTTGCCAATTGTTCCTGTAGCAACCAACTGAAGAGCGGGCAGTGGAGCAAGCACTGTGCCTGCAACACATAGTCCTACACCCAGAGCTGTGCCTACGGGGCTCACGCATCTAGCACAAGGGGAGTGGCCTGCCACTCAGGCACCCTTAATGTATGCCATGTATGCAGTACTCCATGCACTTGTCCCCACACATCACAAATTCCCTTTGTCAAAAGAGAGCATAAGGTCCCATGCCCCAAAATTTTGAGTGTTCTTCTGATCTGAATTATGGCATTGTGTCTCATCTTAAGGGTGAAGTTTGCTGTCACATTTAGCAAGTTGAAGCTAGTTCCCTGATTGGGTCAAGTACTTCACCTTTGCAATGGACAAAATCTCAGTGCCCCTCTCTTTCCACCAACAAGGTGAGGCTGAGTAAGTGGTTGCAGAGGGGCTTCTAGTAGCTTCTTCGAGCACAGGGCACACCCTGAATTTTCTGGCCAGAAAAAAACAGGGAGGGTTCTGAATCGGGGGTTCAGGGAAGGCTGGGGGTGGATAGGCTGAAAGATTCAGGGCTGTTTGTGTGGGAAGCAGTGTTTTCCCCCAACTCTGAGCTACTGATGTATTTGGAAACTTGCCTTCATAAGTCACTGATGGCATTGGGCCAGGGCAATGGAGACAGATGGCAGAGTGGGTAGAAGAGTCCTGGCCTCTATCACCTCCTTTCACTACCCACAGTAGACCTTGTCCCAAAGTTACTTTGGTAACTTTTTTCCTGAGTGGACACAGTTTGATTGTTGCAACTTCTAAATAAGCCAAGGACAAAACAGACTGCATTGTTCCTGCACAAAGAGCAAAGGACTCTCAGAATAGAGGATGGAGAGGGCTTGAGTGTGGGGGCCCCAGGTCCTATCTCAGCATAGGGGACACATGGGGTAAGCCCACTACGTTGGAAAGCTTGGGGGCAATGTCCCTTGAGGGGGACACTCTGGGGCAGGGGACAAAGGCCATGAGGAGAAAAAGAAATGGCATTGTTAGCATCTAGTGGCTGCCTTTTTGACTGGCTCCAGATTCACATTCCTGGTGACAATGGTGGGAAAGTGCATGTTGCACATGCTCCCCTATGCTGAGATAGGACGTGGGGCCCCCACACTCAAGCCCTCTCCATCCTTCATCCTGAGAGCCCTCGGTTCTTTGGGCAGGAACAATGCAGTCTGTTTTGTCCTTGGCTTATTTAGAAGTTGCAACAATCAAACTGTGTCCACTCAGGAAAAAAGTTACCATAGAATTAATATGTTACAACTCTTTGGTGGGACAAGGTCTACTGTGGGCAGTAAAAGGAGGTGGTAGAAGCCAAGACTCTTCTCCTACCCACTCTGCCATCTGTCTCCATTGCCCTGGCCCAATGCCATCAGTGACTTATGAATGTAAGTATCCAAATATATCAGTAGCTCAGACTGGGAGGAAAAACACTGCTTCCCACACAAACAGCATTGAATCTTTCAGCATATCCACCTCCACTCTTCCCTGAACCACAGCCACCCTGTCTGAGGTAGGCAGGCACCTTGTTCCCTCAAGAAGTAGGTGAGCAATGGGGTGTTGAGTTATATGGTAAAGACCTTAAAATAGAAAAATGGCAGAATTGGATCTCATCTTGTGAACTACCCTATGGCTGTATCTTCTGCATTTGGGGGAGTTCAAGGACTGGAGACTCAAAGATGCTGGTGGCCATGGTTTTGCAACAATACTAATATGATTGGCACTGGCTGAGGATAGAGGATGCAAAGGCTCAGGAAGCAAAGGGACTATTTCGAACTCCTCATTGTGAACTGCTTCTCTCATTCCAGTCCCCCAGAATACCCGAGAAGTGTTAAATGAAGGGATATTTGCTAAGGAAAACCAACTAAAAAGGGAAAAGGACCCACAGTCAGCAAAAGAGGCATATTTACCACCAGTGTGATGGGGAGCTGTGGTCACAAAGCCCAGAGAATTAGTTTCCTCTGGATGGTGAACAAATACTAAAGACTTGGCAGCTTACAACACAAATTTATTGTCTCACAGTTTTGACAATCAGAAAGAAGAAATGGCCTTGCTCACTAAAATCAATGTGTTGGTAAGACTGCATTCCTTCTGGAAGCTCCGGGAAAGAATTCATTTCCACGCCTTTCCCAGCTTCTAGAGACTGACCTCATTTTTTTTTTAAGTTATAATAATTTATTTAAATTTCATACCAACTAAACTTCAAACATGTATAAAAGATCTTCTACAGCTCCACTCCTCTTTTATAACATAACATTTTATGCTTCTTTAAATTATTGATGATGCCAATTACATCTTTTTTTTTAGTTACACATGACAGTACAATGATCTTGACCTATCATACATTTGAATCAAATGGGGTATAATTTCTTATTTTTCTGAGTGTACAGGTTGCAGAATCACATTGGTCATACAGTCACGTATGTACTATATATACTAGTCTGACCTCATTTCTTGGCTTGTGGTCTCCTTTCGTCTTTAAAGCCATAACAAGGGCAGTCTTTCTGACCCCCAGTCACTTCAACCCTGACTCTCCTGCCTCCTTCTCTCATCTTTCAAAGAATTCCAGGCCCATCTAGATAATTTCTTTATGTTAAGATCAGCCCATTAACAATCTTAATTTCTTCTGCAACCTTAAGTTCTCCTCACCATGTAACAAAACATATTCACAGATTCCAGGGATTGGGATGTGGTCATATTTAGGGCCATTTTTCTGCCTCTTGCACTCACTGGGAATTGTGGTAGCTGCAGGAGAGGCCACCTGGCAGATACCACAGTCAGGAAGAAATACCCAGTCCTTGCTCCAGATGCCTTCTGATTCCCTACTGCCCCCATGCCCTACATTAGCCAAACCCAAATATGGGCCAAGGGGCTCAGAAGCTTGTTGATGGGGTCCCTCCATGGCAGACTCCTGAAACTGAGGGTTGCTGGGCAATGAGAACCATGAGACCCATGCAGCCCAACACCCAGGTGGAAGTAAATGCTGGCTATAGTTCAGTTAATATCCAGGTACTGTATGTATTACGTGTGTAAATTATGTGTAATATATATGCAAATAGATATGATTCTAGAATTCAGAAGGATCTAGCACCAACATAAAATATCCATTATAAAAATAAAATTTTAAATTCACCTGAAGATATAGAGGTAGAAATACTAACTGTGAGTTTCCTACACGAGAGTGTAATATATTCAAAGGGGGAAAAATGACATTAAAAGTATATGCTGTGGAATGTATGAAAAGCAAAGGTAGATCAAGAGAATAAACAGACCAGGGAGTGAAAGGAGAGGAAGGGGGGGGGGGAATGCCTGGGAGGGATATTGGCCAAATTATAATGCTATATTATGTGCATGTGATAAAATGTAGTGATAAATTCCACCATTAATTATGTACAACTATAATGCACCAATAAAAAAAATGTGGAGGAAAGAAAGAGAAAAAAGAAAAAAAGTTCATGCTGGCCAGATGAAAGGACACACATAATCCCAGTGACTCTGGAGGCCAAGACAGGAGGATCACAAGATTGAGGCCAGCTTCAACAATTTAGTGAGATTTGTCTCAAAAAATAAAAGGACTGGAGATGTATTTCAATGGTAAAGTGACCCTTGGCTCAATCCCCAGCAACAACCCCCACCCCACCCCACCCCCCCAAAAAAACAACACAGGCTGATTTTTGTTTTTCCAATGATTTTTTCTTTAGAGTAACAGAGAGCAAGAAATACACGTAGCATGGGGGCTGGGGATGGAATTTTCCCCTTCACTGAGCTACAGTTTGGTCCTAGAATTTGACCCCACCATGTCATCCTTTGCCTAGCCTCTACCACACAGAGTCCCACA